AAAACAATGATTAAGCCCCTGGCCCCCCCTTCACCCGCCGGCAACGGGGGGATTTTGAAAAAAAAAAAAAAAAAAAAAAAAAAAAAAAAACACAGCCGGAGTGTTATTTATGAAACGTTAAAACCCACAAGAGAAGCTCCTCTGGAAAACTTTTAAGATCCATCACTGAACCTAACGGGTAAAAAGAAAATGGGGAAAAAAAAAAAAAAAGTCACTGTACAGTAATTCCTGCCCTGGTAAATGAAAGGAGGTTGAGTGTATGTTATTAACAGTGGTAGTGTTGTAGAGTGGCCCGTGGGTTAGGAGGAGGAGGAGGAGGAGGAAGGAGAGGGATGGGTGACTTTCAGTAGTTTTGGCTAAAAAGGTGAGGTAGGCCTTGTCACAACTTGGAGTGTGGCTTCAAAACTGGCAGGGTTGTTGGTTTCTTTTTTTTGTTTTGTTTTTTGTTTTTTTCTCCATTTGCAGTCTGTCTTTAGTGTTTGTTTCCTATGGGAGTGTGGTCGGGTTGTGCGTCTGTAGCGCCCCTCGCTGGCCGCCGCCTGGACGCTCACATCTTCACGTCCTCCTCCACGCTGAGCTGAGACAGAGTCTTCTTGATGCGCAGTGCCGTCAGTCGCGCCGCGCCATTGGCGTACCAGCACTCCCGCATGATCTTCCCCATCACACGCAGCGACTGCAAGGCGAAACACACACACAGGTCAGTTTGAGAATAAAACGCTTAGAAACGCATTTAAAGTTACTTTTTGTACCTAAATGTAGGAAATCCATTAGAGAGTAATTTTTTTTTAGATAATAGACACGCCTTTAAACTTACTTACTTTAAGATGATTTAAAAAAAAAAAAAAAACTACTGCAATTTAACTTCTTGGTCTAAAACAAACTGTTCCGCAGCTTCACCGTCTCACAAAACGTCCTAATGAAACTAAACATGAATGTTGCAGAGATTTTATACATTAAACCAAAATAAAACGGTGGCCAACTGTGAAGTGGAAGGAAAATGATTTAAATCTAAGAAGTGTGGCAGACATCTTGTTTTTCACCCCCTGGAGGTTAATATTTTATACAACCGTCCTTTTTGCTGAAATTAAAACACCAAATCTTTTGAGGTAGGTCTGGACTTTGACTGGGCCACACCAACACAATGCTTTAAACCAGTGGTGTCCCAATCTTTTGGCAAAAATAATTACGTCTAAAGCATTTGGTGGCCACAAAACTAAATTTAAAAAAATGGCTAACTTTCTAGAAGTATTTATTTTTTCTTTTTTAAATCACTAATAAACCAATCATGCAGGATTTTATTTTAGCAAACACAATAGTAAGGGTCTTGTACATTACTGTAGATCCAAAACTTAAGTTACTTTGTAGATTTTCTTAGCTTGTGTTTCCTACTGGGAACTTCGTGTAGCTTTTGGGTCAAAGAGTTGGCAGTAAACAAATACTCGTAAAGACGAGACATTTCATACAAGTTAACCAAACCGTCTTCCTATGTGGTCTGCAACTATTTTTAGACAACCTCGACGTGAAATACCTCGTAGCTCTGCCACCAGTTGGGAACGTTGGGCCTCAGTTTCTGGTCACAAACCACCTTCCTCATCTCCTCTATGGACGGGTCAGAGGGCACTAGGTCATAGTAGGGCAGCTGGTACTCCTCATGTATGCCTGTGGAACAGAGTGCAGAGGTGGACAGTCTCTTATTGAATGTTCCTGTCCAGGTTCCTTTATCATCCAGCCACGGCTGCAGGTCTTACCTCCGGTGTTGCAGCGGCGCGCGATCTCCCAGTACACCAGGCCCAACGCATAAATGTCGGCGCACTTAAAGGAATCAAAATGTTTCATGTTGATGGTTTCGTCCAAGACTTCTGGAGCCATATACCTGGATGGGTTGAGAGAGAACAAAGGGGTTTGAACTACAGAGAATCCTGACAAAAATCAGATATAAAGGATGTAGCAAACCCTGAGGGACGACCTTTGGGATCAACAACGAGCCGCTAAAAGTGGAAGCAGTTACCTCTTAGTGCCCACGCGCTGGTTCGGTGCTATATCGATTGTGTCTGTGATGGACTCGTGGCGGACGGCCAGGCCCAGGTCGGCTATAGCACAAGTGCCGTTCTTCTTAACCAGGATATTTTTAGACTTGAGGTCCCGATGAGCAATCCCTGGCTTACCTGCAGGAGAAGCGTCATGAAACGAGACGAAGACAGAGGAGGAGGGTGTGTCGCTTGGGAAAACTAAGCAAGTTACAGACGGTGTCAAGCCTCACCCTGAGTGCCGAGGATCTCCATGTGGAGGTGCGCCAGGCCGCTTGCAGCCGAGAGCGCCAGCTTGATCATGCCCTCGATGGTGACGGAGTAGCGGTTCAAGTAGTCAAACAGAGAGCCGTGCTCGTGATAGTCCGACACCAGCCACAGCTGCGTCCATGTGCCGTTGTCTAAAGGAAACCGAAATAGGTCAAACCGGATTAATGGGTCATTTCACTCAGCCTCATCTTCAACTTTTTAGCTTCTTTCGGTTTGGTTGCATCAGCCCTTACACAGAGTTGTAAGATGGGTTAGAAGTCTGATTATAACCACCTTTATTGTCTGCTGCGATGAATCCCAGGATGTTTTCGTGCCGAAGCATGATTGTCTGGTAGATCTCGGCCTCTCTGAACCAGGAGCGCTCCTCTCTGGACGAGAAGATCTTGACGGCAACGTCTCCGCCTCTCCACTTTCCTCGCCACACCTCTCCGAAACGCCCCTTCCCTATTATCTCCTGCAGCACGATCGTCCTGGCAACCGTCCGCTGCACAAACAGCGGCAGCCCTACAAGGAGCAGGCTGTGTGAGACACGTACGGAAGAACAGACACGGTGTTCTTTAAACAGGCGGTGCGTACTGACCAGAGCCAGATCCTGAGGTGGACATGTCATAGATGAGGTCCTGCAGGGTTTTGTCCTTGGCCAGGTACAGGTGGTCGCAGGAGGGGTCCTCCACCTCCAGCCGCTGTCTGTGGCTGTAGGCTCTCTGGTGATACTGGAAGAGGAACACTCCAACCATCAGCAGCACACAGAGCAGGAACACGGGCCCCGCTATGACCGCAACCAGCTCCACTGGTCCCCAGGAGCTCCCCGAGGTCACCCACTCTCCGGTCGTCGGGTCTTCACGCAAAAAAAAAAAAAATAATAATAATAAAAAAAAAAAAAAAAGAGGAGGCAGAAACAATTAAAAATTAAAAACCTTCAGCTTGGTAGCTGTTAGAAGTGCATCAACGACGGTTTTTACCTGGGACTTTCAAGTCAATACTGTTGCAGTAATCTACAAAGCAGCAGTGAACGTTCAAGTGCCCTTCGGCGCTCTTGCAGTAGATGGGGGGAGTCATCTTATCGGGGTCGAGGCAGTGCCGCAAGAGCACATCTTTCCCATCGGACTTGTACGTTGAAACGAGGCAGGCGCCTTCTGTCTTGCACTCGCCCTTGTTACAGTTTGTGCAGTTGCAGTATAAAGCTGCAGAAAGAGACACAGACGTGCATCACTTACTGAGACAAAGACGAGTTTCACCACACACAGAGCCTCGCAAGGATCGCAACACACAGTGGACTTTCCCACAAACTAAGCCGTGGGGGAACTCGATGGACGGTTTTCAAACTTTCTACAGATAAAAAAAAAATCTGAGACCTGTTGGCGCTCACTGGTATTCAAGTCTTTCTGAGTCGACACTGTAGGATTTTAAGCTGCAATTAAAATCGCAAGGCTCTTGGTGAACGTCTCCGCCGGCTTTGGACGTCTACAGACGGATTGTTCCACTCGGTTACAGGAGATCCACAGATTCTCCTGCTTGAGCTGTGGATTTCTACAGCTCCTCCAGAGCCACTGTGAGCCTCTTGGTTGATTCTCCGATAAACGCTCTACCTGCCCGGCCTCTCAGTTTAGGTCAGGGGTCTTCAACATGAGGCTCCGGAGCCACGCGTGGATCTTTAGCCCAGCTGCAGTGGAGTGTTGATCTATAAAACCGTTCATGTACTATTTGAAAAGAAAAATGCAAACAAGATTTTAGATAGTGGCAAAAAGAGGATTGTTTTTGCTTCCAATTTGCTGCTTTGTGCGTCATTAGGCTTTTTTTTTTTTTAAAAAAAGGTACTTTGTTCACTGGTTTTAAGACTAGGTGGTCATTCTCTCATTTACTTTATTTTATTTAAAAGCTAAATAAAATAAGAATTCACATTTAGTTGTGCAATACCTAAAATATCTAATAAAATATTGTAATTTTAAAATCTAAAGTACCATCTCTTTCTAAAAGTTGTTTAGGTTTTGCAGCTCAAAAACATTTTATTTTGCAGAGCGAGGCAAAAAACCCTCCAAAAATGGCTCTTTGGATCGACTTGTGAATCTTTAAACACTATTGGTTGAACAGTTTTTTTTTTTTTTAGAGTTTTATTAGAGTAGAGGGGATGTGTTACTTTGAACGGCTACCGACTCAGCTAACAGTGAGTAGATGGTTAGAACAGACTAGAGACATTTAACTTGGCATTTGTGGTTAAAATGCAAATCTGATAATAAGGAGGATGTGATTCAGAACAGCGACAAGCCAGCATAGAACCTGCATACGATCACCGCAGTAATTAACCTGTAATATGTTACAACAGAGGACAAGTAGTAACGGCACCGGAGAAATGCATCAAATCCGAACGTTGGTGTGAAGCAGCCACACCATTAACCATGCTGCTACTTGCCACTCTTCAAGTCTCCATTCATTTGCACCAACAGGTGGCGCCCTTGAGCCAAATTTTAGCTTTAAAAAAATGGAACCTGACAACTAACAGTGTATTATCTCCAATCAAATGCTAATAAGCTTCAGGATTTTGGCAGGTGACCTACGCTCTACTCTGTCACATAAAGATACATTAAAACTTGACAAAGTGAAGACTAGTAAGAGGGGTAACACTTTTCCTCAAATACTGTACACATCTTATCCAGCAGGGGGAGACCTCACCTCAGAATCTGAACACAAATTACCGAGTGGGGCCCGTTCAATTGTGGGTAGTTTATGATGTGTAGATCATCATCATCATCATCACCATCAGCTGCAGGAGCAGCAGCAGCCAGACGGCCCCGGCGGCCCTGAAATCAGATCTCTCACTGCAGATGAACCCAAACACGCAGAGTGGAGACAGACCCGCCCAGAGGGACACACAAAGTGAAATCCAACAAGGCCTCTGCCAAATCCCCGATGCAGCAGAAGGTCTTTCTCATCGTGACACTTAAAGCGAACTCTGTTCGAGCTAATAAGACAAGACTTCTGTTAAATGCAACACACTCCTGCAGAGAGACCCCATTAACAGGAACCCAATGGACGTGCTACCGCAATAAAACTAAGGTGGTCCAATAAACATGCACACACAAACGCAGTTAAATTAGTTCAATGCCAGAAAGTCTGCAAAATCTAAAAACAATTAAAAAAAAAAAAAAAAACAGCTTTCTTAGTTTCCCAACCGACCAACAGCCACAAACTTGATTAGATTTTCAGAGAAATGTGATTTTGAGTCATGGCACACATGCTTCTCATTTAGGTAAGGTCAGCACAAAGGGCTTCCTCCAACTTATTCTGCTCTCTCCATGCTTGCAGGACACCATCGGTAGCTTTTCCCTTTAAAAAGTGGGGAAAACACAAATGAGAGCCCCAGAAATGATCCCTGGTAGAAATAAAGGCTCAACTGTAATCCCTCCAGACTAAAAGAAAAAAAAAACACTATCCTAAAAACAACACAGGACAATCCTTATTCTCCAACAAAAACAGGACTCCGTATTGGTTGGATGGCTGACAATGTCTGGCCCACGGGGGGGGGGGAAATGGGTTTAAGGTGGCAAGACTCCAGTAATCCTGCATGTTTTCTACTGAGAGCTTCTTTGACTCCATGAGCTCATTGATGTTCCCTTTGAACCAACTTTAATGTCTGTATGCAGGAAAAAAAAAAAGTGTTGGAAGATTTTAATCACTCTTCTGTAACATCATCATCATTATGCAGGCATGGACTAGTCTTTGGTGTAAAAGTATATTACAGTTTTAAAAAAAACAGACAAAAAAAACTACTGTTTGAAAAAGGTTTTGAGGAAATTTCCCAGAAAGTTGAGCCTGGAAATTTGAGGAAATGTTCCAAATTAGAAACTTTTCATGCAAATTATTAAATTATTAGTGAAAATTATGGGGATGTAAACAAACTGCACGACACGCAAAGACAAATGCAAATGTTTTATTGAAGGAAGCCTAGTGTTTCCTGGTTAAACATTAATATTTGCCCAATGATATAAATAAAGTTTGTTTCCCTTTGTGTAACCCATAGACTCAGTCACAGCCCAGGCTGCTGGAAGCCCTGGTTGTCTTAAATAAACTTGCAACTGTTCCTGCATCAGCTCTGATTGCTCAAGATGGGATTAAGTTAAAATATATAATTTCCCCAACCATGCTTAAAAAGACCAATCTTCATATTCTCACAATTTTCCAGCTTTAGAAATGTCCTGGGATTTTGTAACCCCTAATCCTGCAGTTTAAACTTCTTTAAATGAGATCCTGAAGAGAGTGATGCATCACTACCCCTCCCCCACACGTTGCTCTAAACTCAGGTTACTTGTCTGACTGTTTTTTTTTTTTTTTTTACTACCTGAACTATTTCCAAAGTTCCCCATTCACTCTGGTTAAGAAACCCTGTTTCATCTAAGCAGCTGACTGCAGGCTCCATAGGAGCACATAGCCTGACTAATCACACTGTTACAGCTTAATTTACATGTCTCACTCTATAAGGGGCAGAAGGATAAAGAGGTATATTCTCAATCTCAAACAAACAAGGCTCTAAAATGTACAATTAAAATGTAACCCGTCTTACTTTAGCAGAAGAAGGAATAATTGTTTCTTTAGGAACGTCCTGAAGGGGAAAGCCGAGTTGGATTTTTTTTTTTTTTTTTTTTTTTTTTTTTTTAGGTGTTTTTGCTTTTTTTGTTGTGTTTTTTAAACAATATGCCTGGAAAATG